CTGGGTGCCTTCTTATGACGCAGGACCTAGGACTTGGCATGACATCACACAGAACTCCTCCTTCCCTTAAAAACAATTCCATGTTTTTCAATGACTATACCCTACTTTGTGTTCCCATCCATGCAAACATTTAAAGAGCTAGGCTTAAAAACTAGTGACATTGGGCTGGGAGAGTGGCTCAGTGGAAGAGTGCTTGCCTTGCATGTATGAGGCCCTGGGTTTGATTCCTCAGCCCCACATAAGCAGAAAAAGCTGGAAGTGGTGCTATGGCTCAAATGGTAGAGTGCTCACCTTGAGCTGAAGAGCTGAGGGACAGCACCCAGGCCCAGAGTTCAGGCTCCACGACCAACAAAACAAACAAACAAACAAACAACAACAAACACTAGTATCATGATTAGCATGCACAAAGCCCTGGATTCAATCCCCAATACACACACACACACACACACACACACACACACACACACACACACACACGGAAAGAGGTTTCTGTCTGTTAGAGTGACCCACTGAAAAAATCACCCAGAATTACCCATCCTGTTCCTTTTAAAAATAATTTAAAAATACATAAGTAAATAAATAAGCAAGCTTTATCTAGAATAACTTCACAATAAAAATGGAAACTATCAATGCCAGGACAAGGCCAGTGGCAATGAAGAGGGGCTCTTAATTGAGGAGAAACTTCTAAGCACAGACACACCTGAAAGTTGCTAGTGCAGGTGGGCAGCACTCTGCAGACCCTCATCTGTAAGATGCAGTCTATAACATGACCCTACCACGATTCTGATAAGCTAAAGGATTCAGAACTAAGCCTGGAATGCAGGAAACATTCTGCCATGGTGAATGTGATGGTTGCTTTTTTTTTTTTTTTTTGTCAGTTATGGGGTTTGAACACAGGGCCTGGGTACTATTCCTGAGTTGTTTGTTTGTTTGTTTTGGTTTGTTGTGCTCCAAGCTAACACTCTACCATGCTGAGCCACAGTGACACTCTCAGTTTTCTGAGAGTTAATTAGAGATAGCAGTCTCATGGACTATTCTAAGCCTGGGCTGGCTTAGAACCGCGATCTTCAGATCTCAGCCTCCTGAGTAGCTAGGATTACAGGTGTGAGCCACTGGCGTCTGGCCTGTGATAGTTGACTGACAACTTAATTGCATGGAGAATCACCTAGAAGATCATCAGTAAAGCACAGCTCTGCGTGTATCCAGCAGGGCAAATGGTTTCATTTCCTGATGGATTCAACATGTGAATGGTCCATTGGAAGGTGGTAAAACTGAGGATTGTGGGACCTGGTTAGAAGAAGTGGGCAACTGGGGATCACTGGGGTTTGTGCTTGAGGGCTTTTCATTGGCCATGGCTCCTTCCTGACATGGCTTCTCTGTGCTTCGGGTCCACCACATTCCCGCCCCTTCCCCCCCGCCCCCCGCCCGTTGTGGTGACTGACTGAAACCTCTGAAATGCGGTGGCTCACACCTGATATCCTAGCCACTCAGGAGGCTGAGATCTGAGGATCCCAGTTCAAAGCCAGAATGGGCAGAAAAGTCTGAGACTCTTATCTCCAATTGAGCAGCAAAAGAGCAGATGTGGAGGCATGGTTCAAGGGGCAGACTGCCAGCCTTGAGATAAAAGCTGAACAGTGAGTACAAGCCTCTGTACTTCTCCCATGCACACACGTCTACACAAAAAGAAGATGCTTAGGAAATGTTATTCCAGGAGAGAAAACTGAGATAGCTGATTCAAGTCTAGCCCAAGTCTAACTGGATCAGACTTTCTATTTAGTTCTAAAGTCGGTCTGAGCGGGGCTATTCTGTGACATAACTGTTAGCCTTACCTGTCAGACTGGCTGGAAAATCCCAGGCCAAGCTGTTAGAAACAATCCTGTAGACCTGGCCCTTCCTTTACCTCCCTTTGATCTGCAATGAAGAAACCTAAGACGGGGTGGGCTGCAGCCTTTCCCGAGTTGACCAGAGGTCACCCAGAATGGAAGCAAGCCCACAGGGAGAATTTCAACAGCACACAATAGCCACTCTGTGGCCCAACAAAGGCCCGACCTCTTGAGGGATGTCTAACTTTTAAACTCCCACAAACATATGTATTTACTCAGCAATTACAATTTAAACAACCCAAGGGGCAGCTTAATCACTTGTATCAAAGGGAGTAGAGTAAAGCTCCTGAGATCTTTAACAAAAGAAATCAAAGTAGCATTTGCATTCAAAAGCAAACAAAAGAACTTCTTTCTTCTCTGAGCACACACACTTTCTTCTCAGCACTCCCCAGAGTTCCATGATAGACAGCTAAACAGAAGGCCCAACCCCAAATCACAGAAACTGAAAACTTCAGCTCAAGAATTGTTGAGCAAGATCAAGTTTCTTTAAATGTGAGCAGGCCTGCAGCAAAAAGAGCATGCTTGAAGCTAAAGAGTTCAGTTCTGTCTTACATTATTTGTTGGTGGTACTGGGATTTGAATTCAGAGCCTTGTGCTTCCTTGGTAGTGATTCTATGCTGAATCACACCTCTAGCTTTTTTTTTTTTTGCCAGTCCTGGGGACTGAACTCAGGGCCTGAGCACTGTCTCTGAGCTTCTTTTGCTCAAGGCTAGCACTCTACTACTTGAGCCACTTCTGGATTTTTCTGTTTTTGTGGTACTGAGGAATCAAACCCAGAGCTTCGGGCATGCTAGGCAAGCATACCACCACTATGCCACATCCCCAGCACTGTCTTATTTTTAACACCAGTAAAGACTGACATTTGCTGTGAAAACTGGAAGTCAACCTCTTCCTCAGTTTACATCTAAGCTGACCACCTGTCTCCCTCCAGTGCAGTTTCTGCATTTGGGGGTGGGGGTGGCAGTGTCAGCTGGTAAAAAGCACTGACAACTAACTGGCCATGTCTGATAAAGCCAAGATGTACCATGATGGCTCCTTGGCCACAGGCTCATCAGGAGGGAGAACATGCAGGTACCGGGTGTATGAGGGCTTCATCTCCTTAGAGACCCCATCCCCACGGAAACAGGTGAGGCTCCATCCCAGAAGATCGCATGGCTACAGCAATGAAGAGAGCATGATGCCTGCTAGAGAGGCCTGTGGCTAGAGCTCAGGGGATGGTGGGTGAAAACCAGACAGGAACTGGAACCTGCCATGTGATTTCATGTGTGTCATGTTCAAAACCAAGTAAAACCAATCCAAGTGGATGGAAGTATGGCTGTAGATGCTCTTGGGCTATGTCAGGAAGAGCTTTGATGGAGTGGGTGACACCGTCGTGAGCCCAGGGCAGAATGGAGAGGCCCAGGACCCTGGGAGCAGGTTTGTATGTTGACACATACATGTCTTACTTCAGGCTTACATTACAATGGCGACACATGTAAGCTTGTCTGCAAGATTTAAGAGCATGTCCTTGTCCCCCACCCCAAATGTTTCTGCATTAACGGTTAAAAGTGTCACTTCAAATCCAGCAGGCTTCTTCAGACACGTGACCATACTGTAGGTTCTGTGCTGCAGACCAGTCAGCGGAAGGCTTGGGATGAGGAGCTGGGACCACCCACTCTCCTCACCCATCAGACTTCACAGCCTGCACACTGAGCACTTCTCTAGAAGCTATTCCACTTGCTGTGTGCTAGCACTTTTGAGTACAGTATTTTTGTTATTGGTAGGGGTGGTTATGGGGCTTGAACTTAGGGCCTGGGTGCTGTCCCTGAGGTTTTTTTCTTTTCACTAAAGGTTAGCACTCTAGCACTTTGAGCCACAGTATCACTTCCGGTTTTCTGATGGTTAGATGGAAGTAAGAGTCTGCCTGGGCTGGCTTTGAACCATGATCCTCAGATCTCTGCTTCCTGAGAACCTAGGATTGTGCCGCTACTGGGGTTTTAATGGAGGAATAGAGTACTCAGATATGTGAAAAAGTTTTCACCAATGGTGATGACTGGAAAAAAACCAAGACGGGTGTCTTGAAACTTCTTATTCAGCTCCAAAGGTGTTGTTTACAAGATAGCATATCTATTTTTAGGAAGGAAATTATTTTGTAAAGGCAATCCTAGGCTAGTGAGATTACCAAAGGAATCCACTTAAGTCCAGCCAAGTTTTAACTTTGAAAGAAAAGTGAGATACTGAGGATAATGTGGAAGCTTGTTTTTTGTTTTTTTGCCAGTCCTGGGGCTTGAACTCAGGCCCTCGGCACTGTTCCTGAGCTTCTTTTGCTCAAGGTTAGTGCTCTACCACTGAGCCACAGCACCACTTCCAGCTTTTTCTGTGTATGTGGTCCTTAGGAATCTAGTCCCGAGCTTCAGGTGTGCTAGGCAAGCACTTTACCACTAAGCCACATTCCCAGCTCAATGTGGAAGCTTTTCAAAGGTATTAGGAAACAACTCTGCAAAGGCCAGGGTTCCTAAGGAGTCAACTACTTTACCAAGGGAAAACGAGTGGCAAATTTTAAAGCTTCCTCCATATAAACACGCCTCTGCCATCAACTGTTGGAGTGGCAGCTATCTACAGCAGCCAAGAGTATGGCTGCGGCTGGTGACTGCCACGGGAGGGGCAGCTCCCCGGGCTCCCATCCTTGATCAGAGCCCGTTTCCTCTCCAGAGACTGAAACACTCACTCCTTGACAGAGAGCAGGCCGTGGTGTGCTGCCATCGCACACCTCCATCTTCTGGAGGCCAGCAAAAGGTGGGAAGGGTCACAGAGCTAAGCCATGGGGGGCCAATACACACCTCTGGCAGGTGTGGGGGTTCCTGAGTGCCAGACTTGTCCTGACTTCTCCTGGACAACACAACCACCCACAACCTTGAACAAGTCAGAACACACACACACACACACACACACACACACACACACACACACACAAAATCTCTAACTGAAATAATCATGGGGTTCAAAGAAACATTTTTCAGTGTGATCCAAAGGAGAATCACTTTCGCATTTGTCCTGTATATTTTAGAAAATTTTCCACATGGAAGTATATTTTTAAAGAGAAAATAATTTCTGTCACCAAAGATGTAGAATTTGACAATATATTTTATTTTTCCATAAAAGTTCTAACAAAAATATATGTTCCTTAACTTAAAAATACATGTTTAGAAAGTAAAATCTGAGTTATCATTCACTCCAAGTTTTACAAAGAGCAGTAAAAGAAGAATCCACAGTGACACTGGAAATCTCATTCCATAAGCTTGACTTTGTCCTTTATCAACTTAAAGGTTGGATTCTTGCTGATTTTCTTGTTGAAGATGACTAGGAGTTCCTCCTCCGATCTGTGGCGGTCATTCATCACCGTGTGATACTGAGCTAAAACCTTCACAAAGACAAGCCAGGGTCAAGAAGGTAACTCTGTCCTGGAAAAAGACCTTTAAAGGTTCTTTCTCTGTCCACACTGGGCAGCAGTGAATGAAAAGCAGGCCAGGTGCTGGTCACACAGAGAAAGCTAAGTAAGACACTGCTCTAGAATCCTCAAGAGAGCAAGTTTCTAGAACAATAAATCTTCAAACACAGTGTAAGAGCAAGGCCCATACCTCAGAGCGAGCTGCTTTGGTAGAGGCTGGGAAATCTGGCCCAATTCTAGCTCCAGCCCCTGAGGGGCTCAGCGAGCAGTGTGAAAATCACTAATGGGGGTGTAGGTGTCTGTCTCTTGCTCTTTCATAATAAAGTACAGAAGCATACATTTAAAGTTAAGCCTCTCCCATCCTGGTTTAGTCCAGGTGCCATACCTTTTTCTTTAGCTTTTTCACTGAGAGTTGGTTGTCAGGGGCCTGCCTCAGAACCGCCTTAATCGTTCCCTTCCAGTTGAATTTTCCTACAACAAGAACACACAAGACATGGTTGTGTTGTGTCTCCAGAAGGGCAGAGGGACAATGTGTGTACTTGAGTTCCGGGAAATGACCCGGACCTCCTGCACGCAAGATGCCAAAGCATCATGAGGCTGTTCATTCATCTATCCCACCTCAGAGGCCCTGAGGGTACCATGTACCCTTCAAGTTGTCTGTTCCCAGAGGTGACAGGCTCATCACATGTCACTTGTGTCTGGTGTATGGGACACCCACTAAGACAGTGCTGTCAGAACACAGCAAGGAAGGTGAGGCGAAGCAGCTCTGCCCTGACCAGGACAAGACAACAGGAGGTTATGCAAGTCATACACCCAGCCTTGGCAGGGAGGAGGGAGCCGGCAGTGCCCTGGGCTCCTGTGAGCACACGGAAGAGTAGACACCATGCAGCAAACCTACGAGGGAGAGAGCAGGCTGGCCAGAACGCAGGGCACCGGTGACAGGCGAGCTTCCCACATGGAGAGGGGAGGCCCTGTGGAGGCTGGGGAGATAGGTGGCCAGTTAGCATGACACAAGCAGACACCATTAATGGGACAGAAATGCAGAAGGGCAGCAGCCGTGTATGCCAGGAGCTGTGGGTGATGAGGCAGGACAAGAGGAGTTACTGAGGAAGTGGGAAGGGGTGGAAAGCACACCGCTTGTCTACATTCCAACAGCAGCACACTGCTATGCTCCAAACCTGCAAGGTCCCTTAAAGCCCACGAGTTAAAGGTGAAGCCCCTACTTTGGATGGAACCTTTAAGAGTGACCGGACCTTCAGGGGGATAAAGGGGCTTGTTCTCTTCTTCCTTCTGCTTCCTGGTTGTGGTACAGGCAGTGTGGCTGCACCCCGTGTCCCCTCCATGATGCTCTGTCTTACCACAGGCCCAATGGACTGGAACCCCTGAAACCGTGAACCAAAAGAAATTTCTCTCTTACTGGGAGGAAGGAGGTTGCCAGTGCTGGGACTTGAACTCAGGGCCTGGGAGCTGTCCCTGAGCTTTTTTGCTCAAGGCTAGCTCACTAACCACTTGAGCACACCGCCACTTCTGGCTTTTTGATGATTAATTGTAGATGAGAGTTTTACAGACTTCCCTGCCCAGGTTGGCTTTGAACAATGACCCTCAGATCTCAGTCTCCTGAGTAGCTACAATTACAGGTGTGAGCTACAGGCACCCAGCAAACATCTCCCTTTCAAACCAATGACCTTGACCTTGGGATCTATTCCATAATGGAATGTTAACATAGATTCCAACCCAGCCCAAAGACAAAGGCACTGGGCACCACAGTGCTAACTCACCCTAGAGCACGGATTTTACTTTTAAAATGTGCCACTGTGCTGCAGGAGCCCGGCAGAGGGGGCTATTTTGACTTCCCACGGCCCCCCGCCCCCCAGGAGCAATTCAGATGACAGCGGACATACCTTTCCCAGGAGCCTCGAGATCCTCCGCTTCTCCATCCTCAGGATGATCTGGAAACTTCATTTTCTTCTTAGAGTCTGCTTCAGCTGTTGGGAAGATTAAGAACAAGGCTGCGGCATTCAGGCCATTCGCAGGGGCTGACGGGCTCCACACCCTCCACGGGTGGCTCTCCTGGCACAGTGGGGTTCACCCTCCCACACCACCGAGGGGAGGTCACCTGCTCAGGTGATGCTCAGCCATGCTCGGCCTGGAGGCTTTACAGGCCCCACTCCACAGCGTGGCCACTTAGGGAATGAGCTACCCAGCACACGAGCTGGCCACCTACTTTCTGTAGGCCTCCGCTTCCTTTTTCCTGCCACTGCCTTTGCCTCTTCTTTGTTGGCGACCTCCCCGGGAGCCCTCGCTCTGTCGGCGCCCTGTGCCGCGGCCCACTTGCCCTGGCCCTTCTTCTTCTTCTTCTTCCCTGCCAGGCCATTGGTCATGGGGGTCTCCTCCGCCTCCAGGCCCTGTTTGCGCTTCTTAGGCTTCTGGCCGCTCACATTTTCTTGGCATTTTTCTAGTTTCAGTTCTTTCTTTTCCCTTTTTCTATTCTTCTGCCGTTCTTCCTTTCTTTCTCTTTTATTCTTCTTTACTTCTGCTTGCTCATCTGTGGGGCCATTTGCCTTCAAGGACAGAACCTTGGTGGAGACTTCGGCCTGCGGTTTCTCTGCTTGGTTGGATGGCTGCTGTTCTGGATCCTTATTAAGCAGAACCAAGACACACACACATAAAGAGCGGATCTAACTGCACAAACACAAACACCCATATTATTCACGTACTCACAGAATAAGCTACTCAAGGTGAATGGTCATAAACTCCCATTGTATGACCGTGACAGTTTAACAACTAAGGTATAGCAATTAAATATAAGAAGGGCAAAATCTACCCGCACCCACCCTGCATTACACAGAATAAAAGAATTGAAGCATGCAGTCATGGGATTCCTGTTCACAATTCAGTTTTTCATTTATACTAAAAAAAAAAAAAAAGAGCACTTAGGTATGGTAGAAGTCATCAGGGTTACGAATCTGCAGGCCTGGGTTCAGTTCCAGTTCTGTTCACCCGGTACTACGCAGGTGAGTCAGGACACGTGATCTACTCCGATTCTATTTCCTCATCTGTAAAATGGAGGCAGACCTAACTACCTCACATAGATGATAGAAAGTCAGACGAGAAAAGACAGGTCATGTGCTGATACTAGCCACAGGACGCTTTACACACTGACAGGTGCTAGACAAAGCACCACTGCTGTCTGATTCCCAGGTGAGATGGTCACTCTTAGTGGACCGTCAGGGACACCTGTGCAGAGCGTAAGGATGGCAGGTTATGAACCTTCTGTGGTGTGGCTCTTCCTCAGTGAGGTGCTGGAGGCCTCATCCCCAGCGTGGTGGTGTTGGAACCCTCAAGGAGTGGGGCTTAGTGGAAGGAGGTCAGGTCACTGGGGGCGCTGCCCTCGGTGAGTTATTCCTGAGTGCTCACTGTACAAAGACCAAGCCTCTGACTCTTCAGGCTTCCCAGAACCACACGATCTCGTCCCTCAGGACTCCCACCACGATGCATCTGGTATGCTGTGATTAAGCCAGGAAGACCCTCACGAGGTTCCACAGATGGGGCTGCCCGATCTTGGACTTTTTGCTAACTAAACCTCTTTTCTGTATAAAGTGTGCAGCTTCAGGTACAGCAGGCAACAGAACATACAAAACCAGAGAAAACTAAGTAAGTATGAGCACTGGGATAAAAGAGACTTTCTGCAGCTGGGCGCTGGTGGCTCACGCCTGTAATCCTAGCTACTCAGGAGGCTGAGATCTGAGGATCGAGGTTCAAAGCCAGCCCGGGCAGGAGAGACCGTGAGACTCCTATCTCCAATAAACCACCAGAA